AAATCAAAGGCCCCTGAGTCTTACAGGAACTCAAGTGCTTTGTTCAGAGAGGCAAAAGCACGTTGGAAGAGGGCCCATCTTTAACTGGATCCATTGGCATAGCTGGGGAAGAAAGGCCAAGCCTACTAGTAGGTGTGCACTTCACTTCTTGACTGGTCAAAGTGAGATTTTTGGGCCTCACTGGGAAAAACTCCAAGAATTTAAAAGGCTGAATCACCATGTGATTTCTAAGGTGCTCCTCATTTTGGGTGGTTCAGGGGAGAACTTTATTGACCTTTTTTTTGAAGGCTTAACAGCCTCCAAGTCGTGCAGCCTTCGACTGCTGCCTTTTGGGTGCAGTTTATTCCTTGTGTGCTCAGAGCAACCCCTTGGGTTACGGAGCAGGATAGCTTTGTTTTCCTAGGAGGATGTGTAGGACTAAGTGCTGCAGAGAGGTCAGCATCAATATTTGCAAGGACTAGCTAACCCTGAGCTGTGATGGACCATCCTTGTGATGCAAGTGAGGGGCGTGTGGGTAGGCTGGCTGCTGAGAGGCACAAATGTGGCATCTGGATGTATGGGTGAGCAGCGATGTATGGGTGAGCAGTGAAGAGGTGCCTGGGGGGTGCTGGAAACAAATGTCAAATGATAACCTCATTGAGAAAGTCACAGGCTCTGCCACATGGTGCTTTGGCAGAAAGGCAACCAAATAACAGCCATGGGAGCTCCTCTCTGACTGCTGCTTCTGACATAATGCAGACCATCAGCTCCCTATGAGCTGCAGAAAAACAAGCCCCAGCCTTCCTGGCTCCTCTCCCAGGGTGAATGAGCTCGTTGGCTCAGTAAATAAGCCCCTTCCCTGGCCACGGAGAGCTATTTGTCTTAGAACAATGGGCAGAGCAGTAGGGAAATGCCTGCAGCACCTGTGGAGAGCAGCCAGTCTGCATGAATAGCCTGCACAGTCTGGTCAGCCAAAAAAGCTTCTGTGGAGTCAGGGCAAGTACTGGGGGGAGGGGGGTCAGTCCCTGGTGGGGGGGAAATGGAGACCACTTGGCCAGATTGATGTATCCATCACCTGGTGGGGGGAGGTCTCCTGTCTTGGTGACCATTTCCATCAACAGGTGTAAGCTGCAAGTTCCCAGCCCAAAGGAGGCAGACAGCGAAACGTTCCCCTTCATGGGAAGTGCTGCAGCAGAAATCAGTATGAGTAGAAAGGCAATTAAGATGCAGGATGCCTAACGAGGACCAGAGGGGTGCTTATTAGTGAGGGCAGGACTGGCAGGAATCAACTCATCTGCTCCATGCGAGGTGAGATTGTTATCAGTCCTGCCAAGCACACAGAGGCCTTGCTCCCTTCAGCAGACACCTCAAGTGAGAGAGGCTGCTTGCAGGAAGAAATGTGCTCACATCCTCCAAAATCCCTGCAAGGCTCAGGCATCTGCTTTCTTGCCTGTTGTTGCAGGCTGCCAGGTCCCCTGCCCACCTCTGGGGTGAGGGATACTTAGGGGGGGCTGTGGGAGAGAGTGTGACACTGTACCAAAATGAGTGGTAACCAGGGTCTCCTTCCAGGTGTGTGGGTATCAATGAGCTGTGTCAGGGGTGTAGCTATCACTGAATTATGTTGGTTTTCTACTAACGGGAACCAAGCAGTTCCCGTTAGTTCATCTCTAACGGGTGAAAAAAATCAGGCATGGTCTGTTGCAATCCTAGTTTAAATGTGCTGACTTCTTGGCCTTCCTTATTTATTTTTAGTGGAAGAAAGAGCCTGACTCTAGAGTTCTGGATATCTGCATTGAAGTAAAATATCCCAAGAGACCAAACTGACTCTTCTCATGACACTGGTGCTTTTCTCAGGATGTGCATATATCCCCTCCCAGTCTCATCACTGTCAGATGGAAACAGAGGCCTGTGAATGCTTCCAGTTCAGTCTCACAGCTGGGCTTTGCAACCAAAGGCAGACTGTTCACATTCCTCCTTGTTAGATCAAGATCTGTGTACCAGGCTCAGGGTTGCCTTGCAACGACCAAGCTCTCTGCATGCTTTGGCTTCCGTGCCAAGCCAGCCAGAGCTCAGCTATGAAGCTGTATTCCTGTTTCCAGGGCAGATAAGCAATTTCTCCTCCCAGCCAAGACGTTGGTTGAAGTTCCCTCTCTCTTTTCCTCTGCCAGCAGTTGCTGCAGAAAAAGCTCGGTGTTGCCTGCATCTTGCAGAGCAAGCGAAACACCCAGGTGGCTGGGGACTCTGGCACATAGTGGCA